TTGCAACGGTGATCACGGAAGTATCAGGAGAGAAGGGGAAAGACGGCTGGATGGGATTAAAGACAGCTCTACCGCATCTACCTAGAGCGAGGACGGCTGGACGCTGTATGAGGGGATTTAATGTATTTTGAAGTCCAGCCACCCTTCCCCATCTCTCCTAACTGAAACTCCGTATCTCAGTATGGAGCTCTGCCTGGGAGAGAATGTGCAGAAGCCTGAGCTCTACAGCCCTGATCCGAGTGATCATTGTTGCAATGCTCTCCAGGCGAGTGATCATCGTTGCAATGCTCTCCAGGCGAGTGATCATCGTTGCAATTCTTTCCAGGCTTAATTGCAAAAATGAAAGAAATGCATTAAAAAAAAAAAATTATATAATTTAATTTGCACGTCTTTAATTTTTGCAAAAGGTGAACTTGGCCTTTAAAGTTGCACTTTAAGACTACCCTGTACACAGGATGACAACGCTGCTGTACAGTTTTACTGCAGAACATACAGAGTTGTCACCCTGTTAAGTAAGTGATGAAATAATGGCTCTACTGGCAGGATCAACAGGTAATAAAAGTATTCTATTGGGGGATATAACAAAAAAAAAAGTCTTTGTTAATTCTATTGAGAGACTGCATTGTATATGCCCTTTTTTAATTCTGCCCATAGTTCCGCTTCAAACGCCTGTGTGTAAAATCCCTCACAAGCTGGCAGGCATGACGGGCCCGGGAACCCTTTTAACGAGGTGGTGATGAAAGGGTTACGCGAGGAGGGGGTGGGAGAAGAAGCCACGGAAATTTCCCACCCAATTGGCAGTCGTGCAGTGTATAATTTTCCTCAAATTGCTCGCTGAGCCTCGGCTTTTGTTTCATAATTGATTTATAGTTTGAGCCACTTTTACCTCATCCCCTACTGTCCTGCACGCAGTGCCAGCGAGTACATTACAGTGAGCAATGATAAATTACCTCGCACTTGAGATGCTAATGCATCAGAAGTAAAACTGGGGACAACACGGGGGCTTCATTAGCAGTGGTAGGAGGCCTCCCCGCGTATTCACATTTTCTCTCAGCCGTGCCCAAGTGTTTGATTACATTTTGCAGCATAACAAGAACGCAGCCGCATCCTTTGAAGCTCCCGATATCCTTTTGTTGGCCCGACAAGGGTAGGCAAGAAAATGTACTTGGAAAGTCTCAGAATAGATTTTCTTTTATTTCCATAATTGAATTTTTACTTCTGTGCTGGTATGGGCCAGGGTTTTGAAAGGACATCCGCTATGGATGCGTGGACGCTGCCATTGTTGACCTCCCCGCTTCTGAAAACGCTGGATCTCCGGCGTCATGCTGGCCCAGTGCTTTCAGTACTTTGAGACATTGATGGGGAGCGGGTATGTAGATTAGGAGGTCTGACTGTACAGTGATATGTCTGATCATTTTCAGAGGGTCAGTAATAGCAGGTTCTATGGTCTTGACAGTATGGGATTCTTTCCCGGCCTTGTTCACGTGAGCTTCAGCTTGTGAGGTGTGTACATTCACTTCCTTAAAGCTGTGTTCCAGCTTAGGGATTGGTGCCCACCCCCCCTAACTAACTAACTCCGCCAGAACCTGTCCTGGATGCCCATAACTATACCCCTAATACTTAACTAAATCTGGGGTCACATGACACATTGGGTCCCACATCTTCTATATGGCAGAGTGGGAAATGTGAACACTTCCTGGGTGACGTGAACACTATTGGCTGTACAGCAATGGAGTCCTCTGCAGAAGACCGCAGTGGTGTGATGACGTCACTACAAGGGGACTGGTGAACGGCGGGCACAGACTGCAGCGCTGGATCACCAGTCTCCACTGCCAGAAGAGGACCTGGCGAGGGACCTGTCCTGGTGGATGCAGGTAAGCAATAAAAGGTTTTTTTAAAGCAATGTGAAAAGGGGATGGGTGAGGGATTTCTGCATTTACCCAGAAATCATTGTATTCAGTGTCAGGGACCTTCATAGGTCTGAGGTGTTAGCAGGCTTTCCACAGGTTGGTAGTAGTGCTTAGGAATCCAGTTACAAACCTAATGGTATGGCCTTACTGTTGATACTACTGCTTAAAAATAGAAAAAAAGATGGTACACAGTTATGTGCTTTACAAATGTGCCATTTTCTCTGCTTGCTTCTGGACTCAGAAGCAAGCAAATCTCTTTTCAGTTGAATGTATGGGATTGGAAAGAATGGAATGTCGGTCACGTGACCAGGATTTCCTCTTTGCAGCATGTGTCCTGCTTTGCCTTACTCTTAATTCAAAGATCAGATCTTGCCAAGATCTCCAGTTGCCTGGAGCTGTTCACCTTCAAAATTTATTTTCAATGATCCCAAGGAAATGGATTATATATGGGCTTTAAAATAGTATCAAACGCTCAAACTTTTCTTTTCAATAATAAATCCAAATCAAACCAATATACATTGCCCAGCAACGTATTACTTTACATTTTTGGCCAAGCATTTATAGCGATCATGTTTCCTACCAGCTGACTCTGACTATCTCAGCTACACTTCCCTGAACTTCCTGTCCAGTACAAGCTCACAAGGGAGAGCACAATCGCTATCGGTGTCCATCTACTAGCTTGGAGAAGGGTGGAGGGAGGAAGGGAGAGCAGGGGAGATTCTTGCCTTGCTGTGCTTGTCTGTTTGTAGATGCACACAACTTGCTAACACACACAAGAGTGGCTCCATACTATAGGACCCTACAAGGGAAAGGAGCCATCCTAACATGGACCAGTGCTCAGGGGACCAGCTGATTCTGCAGGAAGCTAAAACTTTTGAACCTCAAGGAGCAGCATCCATTGCAAGTGATTTGATCAGCATTTGAAATGGCTTAAAAACCTTTTGACTTTAATATCACTTTAGGTCTGTCTATCGTACCAGTGAATTTCTCACACAATTAAATTTAAGATGAATGAAAAATAACATTTAAATACACTGATCACAGATGGCCGGTTACAGAAAATAGCAGTCCCTGGACTCATCCCCAGCATGGGCTCTGACATGTAGTCCTCTCGCCCTGCAAGCCAGTGTTTTCAATGGTGATCCCATCAAAGAGGCCCCATCCATCAGTACAATCTGAGCTGGTGAAACACTACAAACATTGACGGCTTAACAGTCACTCGGTGTACTATGAGTTCCAGATTGAGACCCAAGCATCAGCTCTACTCCAGAAGCCTGATTTAACACTGCACTAGTGGTCATCTACTGTTGATTCTGCTTCTCTGTAAGGCAGTTTCTTGGTCAAGTCTTTGATTGTGGTGCAGTGTATGATCATCACCAATTCATTGTTCCTATGTGCTGGGCGTAACTAATAATCACAGGGCCCTATAGCAAAATATTCTATGGGGCCCTGTGATTTCTAGGAACGCCCACCTGATATCCCAAACAACCCACCTGAGAGGGACCCTGCAGAGCCCACCATCGACTGTCTATGGTGGGCTCTGCAGGATCTCAGGTGGGCTGGTCAAACCCTCTTACCTGTCAGCCCCGATCTGCTCTCCACCTCCTCTGTCGCTGGGCCCCGCCTCCGATGCCGGGCCCAGCCTCCTCCTCCACAGCTGCTGGCTGTCACTGACTCGGCAGCAGCTGTGAAGAGGAAAGCGCCGCTGCACAAATCACTGACATGTTGTCCGTGATCTGAACAGTGGCGTGTTCCTTCTCATAGCCGCAAGTGCCAGCCAGCAGCCTAAGATGCCATAGTGGCCCGCACAGCATCAGGGGGATGTCCTGGCTGAGCCTCCCTGTGCTCCGGGCCCCAGAGCGGCCGCCTGGGTCGCTATGGTGATTTGTTCCGCCACTTCCTAAGTGCTACACTCCATTGATCCCTATAAGTAGCGACCGTCCAGCCGGAATTCTCTCCACTTCCTGTTGTCCACATCTGTAGCATCCTGGCTCAGTCATATAAATCTATTGTTGATTCGGAGAATGGAAGAAAATTTTAACTTTGGGGAACTAGAATAGGTCTTCCTTCAGGCCCCATTCACACCAGGGCGGAAGCGCTTCAGCGCCGTTTCCACACAATTTTTGAATGGGCGTCTTTGGGCCCTTTTTAATTGCGTTTCAGCGCTGAAAAGCAATAAAAAATGCCCCAAAACACGCTGATTAGCACATATCCATTAAAAACTATGTGGGAAATGTGGTGATCTGGGCGAAAATAGCTCAGGGAGCATTTTGGGCGACAGGCGGTTCGGATTGCGTGGAACCGCGCGCTTGCATGAACGGTCTCCATAGGAATGTATGGGATTGTTTATGTCGCCGGTTCAGCATGGACCAATCTGTGCGACTGACCCGCCCTGGTGTGAACGGGGCCTTAGATGTTTTTATACATTTTGGCCTTTTTGTGTAAGTATTTTTATAGTATTCACAATGGCTGCCATCACCACACAGGAACAAGCTGCGCTCTAATTGGTACAGCTAGCCTGCCCCTCCCTTACTTGTACACATCAAAACCGCCAAACATTTCGTCTTCCAACAAAAAAATGGCTGCTAATTTTCTAACCCATGGAATAAAGCGACAAAGGATTTCGGAACGATCCCTTTAATACGTCGATGCCTGCCACAGTGTGAAATTGAAAATAAAAATTTCTGAGGGAAACGGGAGAGAAAGAGAGAGGGGAGGAAAAAAAAAACCCCTCTTTGAAACATTTGTTTAGAGAGCGTAAGCTGAAATGCCTAATTAATTCTTGCTTCCTGGCTGACATGTATAAATGATGGCCGCTTGCCTGTCCGCAGCGTCCACCTTTATATCGTTAAAGTTGCGCTGCCTGCGAGTTGCCGTCTCAGAATCCGGAGACGCAGATTAATGGAAGCTGCTGGGCACAACAAATTAAGTTGACGTTGATGTATGAGAACATAATAGCATGATGATCCCTGCGTTACATCGCTGGGCACCTCCCGCTTCATTTGGCTCTTGTTAGGATCGGTTAGGAAGGAAAGTGATGAAATTTTGCACGGTGCGTTCTGATGGTTTTCTTCTCTTTCTTGCCCTCAGACTCATCCTAATGCCAGCAAGCTGCCCCTAAAGGATGCGTTCACGTTCGATGACTACAGGTTGGTTATTTTTTCTTCTTCTGTCGCTTTGTAGAAGCACAACGAGAGGAAGGTTCGCTTTCATTTATCGACTTAAGATGTTCTAATGAGCTGCACGGTCCTAGGCGTTTGTTTAAAGGTGAACACCAGGCCGGTAAAAGAACCCCCCCCAAGTGCTATGGTTACCTTAACCCCTTGCTCCTGACTCTCAGCGGCCCTTTTAGAGGTTTTTACCGATGGGAGTCGGAGGCTTTACAAGACATTTTGAGGATAAGTCACCAGCACTCAGCAGTACAACATGCAAATAAAGTTTGCTTTATTGCAAATTAGGTCGCATAGGTCAAGAAGCCAATGTTTCAGGGTCACGCGAGGTCCTTCCTCAAGGCGACTCGGTGAGTCAGAGGCAGGCTTCCTGATCATGTGATCGCTGTTGTTGGCTTTCACAGTGGTTACATGATCGGGAGCCTGCTCCATGAGCTGCTGATCATGAACGACCATGACAGCTTGGTCACTGTGCTGGGTGCGTTCTAGTAAGTGGGTTCTTCACACAGAACTTAGTAAATTCAGGTGCAGCTAGTGTAAGTACCAGAATTTCACTTGGTACTAGCTTTTTGTAATCACCTTGCACAGCAGCGTTCATACTGGGAGAGGAAGGGTAAGCACTAGCAGGCTGTTGGGAGGAGAGAGCAGTGTGAACAGAGGAATGAGCTTATGAATCTGCTGCTTGTTTCTTTACTGTCATAAGCTTGGGAAGGGGGGATTGGGGGGCGTTGGTGGCTGGCTGGCGGTGACCAAATTGTATTGTTTAACTGCTGTATAGAAAAGTCAATCACCAACCTGGCTCTTCTTTCATCTGCTCCCATATATGTTTCAACTCTGTACTTGGTGTGTCAATTGGAGTTCAGCTTTACAGGGTAACGGAAGTACATTTATCCTATAAAATGTATCGAGTCATCAACTTGTTAATTATACTTATACCTTGTCCCCACCCCTCCAAGTTCTTTACTGTGTAGCTGTCTTCACTGAAAGTCTTCCGGCTGGGCTCTGCTTCTATCTCGCGACCTCCACTCATTCCTGACATTTGCCCCAGTGTTGGATGGCCATGCTATGAAAAGAAAGAGAAGCAGAGCCCATCCGGGAGTCTTCCATTTAGGAACAGAGCAAGGAAGAGATGGGATGGGTACTGTAAGTTTTTAGAGCTTGGGGAAAGGGGGGGGGGCTAATACATTTTTTAGTATAATTGTACATTTATCTTTTAAAGCAGACCTGTTATAGGAGATCTGGTGGGAGGGGAGCTTCTGCCGCTGATCTCCCTTTGAAAATGCCACTTAGCTAGCTGTTACTCTAATCCAATGGCTTCAACACTGACATGAAACAAGAGTCAGCAGTCCTTTTCTGCTCACTTTTTCCTTTGTCCAGTGGTTCAAAGTTTGGAATCTAGAGGGTCCCCTTGACAGCCAAGTAGCGAGCATTTTCAGAAGAATTTTCTATCTTGGGAGAAAATACAATAGCCATTTACCAGGAGCAAATCTACCCGACTGATTTACTCCCTGAGGTCAGAGTGGGGAGGTCTGAAAGAGATGGGGGGGGTACATAAAGACACATACTGCAAATATTGTCATAGATTGTCCATATTTAGACTGTAGAGAGACTTTAGTGGGTGGAGTTGAGAATCACTGGCTTGTAGATCCCCAAGGTTCATTAATGCAGAAGGTTAATGCCCCAAAGTAATGACAGAAAATGGGTTTTATTGGGAAAATTCTACAAAGATATTGTATGACTCTATCTTTGTCTATACTTACTTTTTATGTTTTATTGGCCTGTACCTCTATTTTTTTATATGACCTTTGACTGCACTAGCAGACATTTGTCAAATTTTATTTCTCTGGCTGCAGATGGGCCGTGTCCTCCGTCATGACACGTCAGAATCAGATCCCCACAGAGGATGGTTCACGGGTGACTCTGGCATTAATTCCGCTCTGGGACATGTGCAACCACACCAATGGCCTGGTAAGTGATGTTCTCTGCTCTGTGTTAGTCAGCACTTTATATGTATATGTGTATATGTGTATATGTGTGTGTGTGTGTGTGTGTGTGTGTGTGTGTGTGTGTGTATATATAATATATTCATAGGGCATACATCTTTTAATTCTGTAGATCTCCTGCTTTCAGAAAATACATGAATTGGGGGGCATGGGGTGGTAATTAGTGAATTTTCAAGATAACAATTTTATCTAGCATGTAAAAAATACATAATCCACAGTGAACATCTCTCAGATTCCCAAACGCACTGTGATTGCGTCCCAGGTGCATGCATACAAGCACACCATCACCTCCTAACGACTTCATCCAAAAGTAGCAGCACTCCAAGGTTCTTTACCAAAAAAGTATTTTTTTATGGAGCAAATACACACTGTAAGGCATGTACCCTCAACATCTGATGCGTTTCACCCTTCCAGCTTACTCGTAGATCTCTATAGCGGCTGATCATACATGAGGAGGAAATTTTATAGTGTTTATTTGCTTCATGAGTAAAGACTTTTCTTTTTGGTAAAGACCCCTGGAATGCGGCTTTTTTGGGATGTATTTGAAAAATAGAACCATTATTAATACTTTCTCGCAAGAAATACCCGTCACTTTTTTTGTATTGGGGAGTTTGTTACTTCGCCTTACAATGCAGTGCTCAGGCCTGAACATCCAGTCGCAAGGCCCAAACACTGTTAGGTGACTTCAGGAACCCTGTGAAAGCTCTGATAGCATCCAACTCAGAGCTCACCCAAGTTGGGGCTGCAGAGTAGTGTGCAAGAAGGTAAGTATAAATGAAGACGGAGCCCTTAAAGAGACTCTGTCACTTTGCCCTAAGCCAGGGGTGGGCAAGCTCTGGCCCTACAGGTGTGGTGACACTATAAATCCAACCATGCATCTGTCTCTGGGAGTCGTGAGTGTGAGAAGTTTGCAATGTCTCATGGGATTTGTAGTTCCACAACAGCTGGGGAGCCGGAGTTTGCTAACCCCTGCCCGAAGTGAAAGGTTTACAGTGGAACACTATGTTGATATACTTGCACTTTTTCATTAGCCAAAAGCTATCAGAGTGGAGCTACTTAGTGAAGCTTATGTGGAGTCTTGAATTGTCATGCAGAGCCCCTCCACTTCTCATAAGTACTGTTCCTTTTACAGCCAGGTTGTGGCCGGTCTAGAACATGGCATTTCTTCTGTTGCCGAAAAGTCCCATCGCCAGGAAGTAACACCACAGAATAATTTCTGCTATGGCAGGACAGGTCTTTCCCTGGTGACAGGTCCCCTTTATTTCCAAAATCTCTTTATTGCACTTTGCTCGATCTGGTGAAAATAAACTCCATCTTGAGCCCATCCTCCCCGTACCATTGGCACCTTCAGCAGAACGGCTGCAGCAAGCAGGTGTTAAATGAGAACCCAGTTTTGCTTCTCTTCATACGGCGTGTTTGTGATCCCCAGTAGGTTTCATAAAATATTCAGCTCCAAACCTGTCACGTCAGGTGGAACAGAGTCGCCCGTTGAATGATTTTCATTAATGTTTCATGCCGTCTAAAGAGACAATCTCCCTGCAGGTAAAATAGTATCTAATGAGTTGAAATCTTTATTCATTACTTTTTTCCCCCCCCTTCTTGCTTAGATAACTACCGGTTATAATTTAGAGGATGACCGATGCGAGTGCGTGGCGTTGCAGGAGTTTAAAGCCGGGGAACAGGTAAGATGTGGCAGAGAGGACCATTTGTGAATTAAGAGCCATATTGTGAGTTTGTAGCCGGAGGGCGATTGAGAGATGTCTACAGAGAGCCTGAATAATTACTATTGCGACTTCTTATAGGGCCTGAGAATATTCACATACATCTGTTTATAAATAACCTGATCGAAAATTCCCCTTTATGTGTAAGCGGGAAGAATCTGTCCATGTTATGTGATTTTAGGAAGCCAATTATTCTTAAAAGGCAAAACTAACCGCCTCACCAAAACGTTTTTGTACATTTAAAGTAGATCTAAACCCTAACCGGATGACATTTAGTCTGTTGAAGCTCTGCGTGTCATAAACAATTTCCAGTTTTTCTGTTTTGTTTTTTTATATGCCGTTTTCACCTTTAAAAAAAAATCCTTTTTGCATCTCGGTGTTACTGATTTCCTACAGCCACTTCCTGTCTATATGCCGTCGCTCCATTGTCGGCTGCACATCATTGCTCTGGACCGGATTCCTAATGGTGCACAATGACGCACAGTGTGCGTCAGCATGGTTGCTGGAAGTCTCTGTTAGGGGAGCACGTGAATAGGTGACAACGCTGGAGCACAATAGAGAGAGAGCTGTCACCGCATTGCTGGAGGTGCCTGAATAAGGGCCTTCGTGGCAGGATCACCCAGTATTTTTTCAATAAAAGCTGCAGGTTTATATAAGATCAGGGGCCACTTTTGAAATGATAGTAGCATGATAAATTGTAAATGGGTTTTAGTGATTGTGGGTAACTTACCCTTCCCCGACCAATGAAAAAGAGAGGTTCTAACCTTTCCTCTGTCCAAAATGATTCAATTAAAAAGGTGTATTGATGTGCGTTTCATTTAAAGGTCAGTTAGTGAAGTGTTACTTCACCGCATTACATACTAGAACTGCATATTATTTGTGTGTCAGACAAAGGAATGGAGATGTTTACATCATAAGACACTGAAAGCGTTACACAGAACAAAGCACAGTTGGTTTAAGCTTGTAGGTGCTGCCTGTACTTTATTTCTCCCCACCCCACTCCCTGCTTATCAAACCCTCTCTCTCTCTCTTCTCTCTCTCTCTCTCTCTCTCTCT